CACTCGTGGCTTTCACCTCGGTTAACGCAGTTAACCCTCATGGTCATTTGTCAGCCAGGTGACTGTGGTTACTGCCTGTTAGACAGGTGAGGAGACTAAAGTGTCCATCAGTTCCCAAGGTCAGCAGGTTAATGAATGAAGGAATCCTTTCTGGGCTTGGCTGGGTTTCCCTAATGCAGGCTTGGGATCAGGCACCTTCTTCCATGATTTTATCCCAAATCCCCAGCTCCCAGAGTCTTTGGGGTTACAGAAGCCTGAAGCTCGCCCAAAACCGGTTTGGCTCAGTGGAGAGACTGTCAGCCTGCGGACTGAAAGGTCCCAGGTTCGATTCCAGTCAAGGGCATGTATCTTGGTTGCGGGCACATCCCCAGTAGGGGTTGTACAGGAGACAGCTAATCAATGATTCTCTCTCATCCATGTTTCTAACTCTCTATCCCTCTCCCTTCCTCTCTGTAAAAAAATCAATTAAAAAAAATTTTTTTAAGAAGCCTGAAGCTCTGTTAGCCCAGCAGGTGGTGGGGGTGCAGCTGCTGCCTCCTGCTCCTCTCTTTTGAGTGCATGGAATTCTAACCCCACCTCACTCACTCCCCAGTGAGCAAGGGTGAGCCTCCCAGCCTAGGGTGCCTCAAGCAGAAATGGAGGAGGAGGCAACAGGCTGGGGCATCTAGCCTGCTCTCCTAGGGTGACAGAAAGCAGGAGGGCTAAGGGGCCGCAGGGCCAGCGATGCTCCACGCTTACCTGTCCGAGGGGCTCCGGGGCCCTGGGCCAATCCACGCGGGGCCTCGCTCCGTTAGACCGGGGTGTGTATGGCATCTGAGAGTTTCTTAAAAAGCGCAGCCGCCCTGAGCAGGCAGCCGGGTTTGCAAAGCGCAAGGGATGCTGGGGCGGCTCTGCAAGCGTTAGCACCTGCGCGCCTGCAACGCCCACGTGCGTGATCACGCGCCTGTAACAGGCAGGTGCGTGGGATACCCACGTGCCAGTGCCTGAGAAGATGCAGAGAAGGTTGCTCCTTTGTGTTTGGGCGTCTGCAAAGCCCATCACAACCCCCAAGGAGCGGCTGAGAGCCAGGGGTGGGCGGGAACAGGGAAATCCAGCCCCAACACCTTAAAGCTTCTTTTTTTTTTAATTATATTTTGTTGAATTTTTACAGAAAGGGAGAGAGAAGGATAAAGAGTTAGAAACATTGATCAGCCAAAACCGGTTTGGCTCAATGGATAGAGCTTCAGCTGTCGGACTGAAAAGTCCTGGGTTCGATTCCGGTCAGGGGCATGTACCTTGGTTGCGGGCACATCCCCGGTGAGGAGTGTGCAGGAGGCAGCTGGTGAATGTTTCTGTCTCATCGATGTTTCTAACTCTCTATCCCTTTCCTTTCCTCTCTGTAAAGAAAAAATCAATAAATATATATTTTAGAAAGAAAAGAAAATAAACTCGCTGCTAACAAGCCCAGGAACCCCGGTCCTCACGGTCCTCGGCGCTCGGGGCTGAAGCCGACCCCAAAACCATGGCGGGATTTGGGCTGCGGAGCTGGGCCCGGGCGAACGCCCCGGAGACAAGCGCCCGGGCGGCGCGCACGCAGCGGGCCAGGGCTCCTGGCTTTGCTCCGCTGCGTGGAGACCGGGAACTTGGCGGGGTGTGTGTGTTTGGTGTGTGTGTGTGTGTGTGTGTGTGTGTGTGTGTGTGTCCCCGCGCCCCCCTGTGCACCCGATAGGGGAGCGAGGATGTGAGCCCCCCGCTCGCCCTCCCCGGCGAGCCAAACGCGGGTAGCGGTCCCTCCACTGCGTCCGGAAACCTCGATCGGAGCGCTTGGCCCTCGATCGCTGCGAATGGGAGGCTGGGAAGCTGGGGAGACTGAGTCCCGATCCGACCAGAGTCGGTACAGCTCGCAGACGAGGGCGAGGCCTGGGGCGCCGGGAAGTGTTGGGGTCCCCGCTGCTCCCGGGCGAGGCCCCTCCGCGAGCTGCGGCATCGGCGCGCTCGGCGCCCGCGGTGCCTCCGCGCGCAGCGATCCGGCTCTCCAGTCAGGAATTTCCAGCTTCCCTGGCCGCCCCTACCGGCATCCCCGCCCCACCGCCCCCAGGAAAGACCCCAGCCAGCCCGGGGTGGGGCAATCTGAGCCGAATTGCGGGTTTCCTCCCGACACCCCGTCTGCGCGCCGGCCCGCCCGGAGAGGCCCAGGTCCTGGGACAGCTTTTTGAAGTGGGCTCGTTCTCTGGGTCTTGAGATTCTCGGTCCATGAAAATGTGGGAGAACACCACTGAGAAGGGGAGAGCCCCGCTAGCATTTCGCTGGAAACGTGTTCAGGAACGGAATTGGGGGTGGCAGAGGAAGGGGTGCCTCCTACTAGCCTCTGGGAGCCCCCGATCTCCCCCGCTCCCCAAGGTACCCGCCTCCCAGCCCGCCGCGCCCTCTAGTCTGTCTGGCTGAACCTGGCGGAGAGGAGGCCTCATTTTACCCGAAATTGCAAAGAAGAAAGAATGCCTTCACTTCGGGGAGACTGGGCCCAAGCAGCCCAAGCGGGGATGTGGGGGTGCAGGCCCCCCCCCCGCAAGGGGCAGGGTAGCTCTGGGGAGCATAAAACAAAAGCTCTGCCCCTTCTTCTCCCCAGCCGGGTCCTGCACCAGGTGCACATCCCGCCTCGTGACTCTCCTTAACGCCAGAGCTGGGTTCAAGCGCCTCCTAATTCCATGTTTTGGGGAAGCCCTGATTCCAGGATTCCAGTGCTTGGGGCTCAGGAGAAAGGGGACTTCCCTAAATAAAGGCAAACTTAGGGTACAGAGAGAATGCAGCAGAGCCTGTGGGAGGAATAAAGGAGCCACCGCAGACCCGGGCTGGAACCCCAGGGCAGGTGCGGAGGCTGCTCACCCATCTTGAGGCACATTTAGGGGTACCAGCTGGCTCATAGTCCCCTTCAGTTTCAGGTCCCTCCGGGGCAGCCTCAACCGTTCTTTTCTCTTTCTGCCTCAGACCACCCTGGTCTTCCCTCTCCCTCCCCACTGTGCACATTCTTCTAGGGCAGTGTTTCCCAAAGTGTGGTACGTGTGTACTCCCAGGGGTACGGGAGGAGTTTGGTGGGGGTACGCGTTGCACCGGAGTTTGGTGGGGATAGGCACTGCACTGTGCTTAGCGGTGCCTAATTCTACGTTCTCATGAGGACGAGGGGTACTCAGCGTTACGAAAATTATAGAAGGGGTACAGATGTCAAAAGTTTGGGAAACACTGTAGGGGTTCCACTTAGAATAATGGGAGGGTGGCAGGGGGGGGGGGTTACTGGGGTAGGCAATGGTCAGCCTTCATCCCTGGCTGTGCTCTGGGACTAGCCCAGGTGCCTGATGCGCCCCACCAGGGAAGGCTAAATCTGGGGTGACTCCTCTGCCCCTGGGCCCGAAAATCCAGAAGGATTTTCAATGTGCTCAAGCAAAAGGGTCAACGTGGAGAAGATGCTAAGCCAGACCGGGGAGCTTTCCACCCTGGCCCGGGGAGGAGGGGGTCCTAGGCTCCCTGACCTCACAACTCGCAGAAGCACTGTTCTCCATGACAACCAACCCCTCACACACACACACACACACACACACACACCAGGATAATTGGCTCTTAAGAGGCGGTACAGCTCGCCTCCCACAGCCCAGTGCCAAACAGACGTGGGTGATCAGGCTCGTGGACAACAACGGCTACTTGTTTTAAAATCTCCCCACAGAACTTTTAACAGGCTCCAAACATTTCGTAGTTGCGAGGAAAGCTGAGCCGGGGAGGACCTCTGGTCTTCCAGAGAGGTTTAACTTTACAACCTTTCAAAAAAAAAAATTGCATGGCCTGCCCCACTGGCAACAGGGGGTTAAAATAGGTTTGCTTTATGCCAGCTGCACTCTCAAATCAGTGGCAATTTGGGGGGAGGGGGAAATCATGTGCCTGCAATAACCTAATTATGAGAAGAGAGAGAGAGAGAGAGAGAGAGAGAGAGAGAGAGAGAGAGAGAGAAAGAGAGAGAGACTCTTGCATGGATGCAGTTTTGTAGCCCTATTCCTGGCCCATGGTGAGCCAGGAGGTGGTAGTTCTGATCTCAGACTCTGCCTCTGTGGGACCTTGAATAAGACACCTTTCTGCCAGGCAATGGCTTGGGCACCTTGACAGCCATCCCAGGCCTGGCCTGTGTCCTGCCCATCCTGTCCACCAGGACTCCTCCGGCCACACCTGAGTAAGGGGTGTGTTGCCCTGAATTGCCTTATGGCTCCAGGTCCAGCACCGGAGTGGCTACCTGGGGAGTGTAGGCTGTGTCTACATTGACCCCAAAGGCAGGCACCACCTTCTTCTCCATCTCTACTCCGCATCTTCCAAAAACCGGAGTCCCGACATCTGCCCCCAATGGTTTCTATGGCCAACTCAGCTCGCAGGCCGCACTCAGGATCACCCAGCGGCCGCTGACCTGCTGGAGCCGCTTGGCCTCAATCCCATCCATCTCTGTAGCCACGTGGCTCTGAGGTTGCAGTCCTTACACCCCAAAGCTCTAGTCCCCCCTCCAGCCGCTGTGACCTGCTATCCAGAGCTAAGGCCCAGCTCAGAGATCCCAGACCCTGTGATCGCATCGCCCCGGCCAGCCAGCCACGCAGCCTTTCTTTACAAACCGTAGTAAACATTTTATTTACAAGGTCGTGGCTTCCTTCCGTGCAGTGCAGCGCGTCTTTGCGGACCCCCCACCCCCTTAGCGCTGGAAGGCACTGCGGAGTCACACGTCACAGTGTGAGCTGCTTGTATCCATCCAGGGGGGAAAAGTGTCCGTCGGGGGTGGGTGGGTGGGTGGGTGGGTGGGGGGTACTGAGACGCCCCCAGGCCACTGCGCAGTGTGTGGGCTGAGCCACCAGGCGGCCAGCGAGGGGCAGGAGGCGACCCTGGCGAAGGATGCTCCACCGATGATGCGTCTCTGGCCCCGTCCAGGCGCGGCCACCATGGAGTAGGCGCACCAGATCCAGCCGCGCACGGCAGGGTCCGCTGCGCCCTGGTCCAGTCTACGGGACCCCGAGAGGCGGCTGCGCGGGCTCCGGGCTTTTGGGGGCGCTGCTGAGGCTGGGCTGGGGCGCAGGGAGCATCTCCGGAGCCAGGCCTCCGCCGCTGCTGCCCAGACTCCCGGCGATCGCCGTGCCGGTGCCTCCGAAGCTAAAGCTGCCGCTGCCCCCGCTCCCCACGGCGGGCAGGAGCGCGCCGGCCCCCGGGGCCTTGATGACGGTGGTCTGGTGCGGGGAGCGCTCCGCGGCGGCGCCCTCGGTCCGCTCCGTGTCGCTGGGGGCCATGTCCAGGGACTCCGAGTCGCTGCTGTCGCTCTCGGCCTCGCCCTCCTCCGAGCGGCTGGGGCTGCGCTCCTCTTCCTCCTCCTCCTCCTCCTCCTCCTCGGGCTCTCCGTCTGCCACCGCCGCCCCTGGGGCTGCTCCGCCCGCCGCTGGCTTCTCCTCGTCTGCCGCCTCCTGGTCCTTGTCCTTCTGGGCCTGCGCCTCCTTGGAGTGCCGCCACTTCATGCGCCGGTTCTGGAACCACACCTTCACCTGCGCCGGGACAAGACAGGGAGACGGCGGTGAGACGCGGGGCGCGGTGCCATCCGACGAGGCGCGCACCCTGGAGGCACCCCCAAAGGCGCCTCTGGGATGGGACGGGCCCTGAGCTAGATGCTGGGGCCCAGAGGATGCCCAGAGGCGAGAAAAAAGGACATTGCCAGGGGTCCCTGCCCCAGGACGCACTGGGCCTGCGTCTCCAAACACGGCTGCTTTCCAGATGCCAGCCCCAAATGGCCTGGGTACTTGTTGGAAAAGGCAAATCCTAGCCGAAACCGGTGTGGCTCAGTGGATAGAGCATCGGCCTGAAGTCAAGGGCATGTACCTTGGTTGCGGGCCCATGGGGGGGGGGGGTAAGAGGCAGCTGATGGATGATTCTCTCTGGTTGATGTATTCTAACCCTCTATCCCTCTCCCTTCCTCTCTGTAAAAAATCAATAAAATATATTTTAAAAAGAAAAAGAAAAAGAAAAAGAAAGGCAAATTCTCATCTGCAAACGCGAGGGGGGGGGGGAGAGAATTTCTATTCTACATCGATGCTTCCCTGAACCCCATCTGTGTCAGGACTTTCCTTCCCAGGAATCTGAGCGACCCATGGCCCAGAAAAAGGCACCTATCCCCACGATTTCATGCACCAAAGGTGAATCGATGTTACCAATTTCTGCTATGTCGCCCCCTGTCCTATGTAAGTCCCTCCAAAAGTGATTCCTTTAAAAGAGGGACTGTAGGAAGCACAGAGGGGGGGAAGGGGGTTCAAAGAGTGGATCCCAGAGGTGGGGGTACCCCTGGACCTTTCCAGGGAAGAGCAGTTCCTTGACATGAGGGCACCCAGCCCCTAACCAGGATAAAGTAATCCCACCATGGTGAGCTCAGAAAACTCTGGAATCCGACCTGTGTGCACCGCGGAGAAAGCGGGTAGGGATGGGGCTGAGGCGGGGGAATCTATATAAATACAGACGATTCCCCAGGGGGACCCAATGCTGTTCACACAAGTTCCAGCTTCCCTTTTAAAAATAACATCCCCAGCTGGGCCCTTCCAGTGCGGTGGTGCCGGGGAGGGGAGTTGTGCAATGGACGACAGAGAGACCCAGAGTTTGGAGGTGGGGGGGGAAGAGAGACACCAATAGGCGTCATAAAAAAAATGCCTGCCCTTGGCTTATGCCTGCTCAGAACATTCGGTACCCATGGGGAGTGGCACAAGGGTGACTCTTCTCGTTTCAAAATTCAAAAAGGAAAAAAAAAAAAAGTCCAGTTCTTGAATTTTAGGTTGGGGGGAGGGGGGAAGAGAAAGAATTCGGACATTGAAGGCAGGCATGATGGATTTGTTATTTTCTTGAAAAGTATTCAAGTATGCAGAGCCCTGAGCCGACAGCCATGGTCTGGAGCATTCTAAGAAACCCCTTTTCCTTCTCCCCCTCACTCTTTCCCCTCCCTCCCGGCCCCGAGATTTTTCATCGGAGCTTATGCCGTTAGAAAACCGGACTGTGGCCGCTCCACGCGGACTCCTTGCCCGACCGGGGCGAAGTCATTCCGTTTGAAATAATGTTTTCACTTCCTCACAACTGGGGATTTCACAATCCCGCAGCAGCTGAAGGAGGGGGGCCGGGGTGGGGAGGATGGAAGATAAAAAAAAAAAAAAAAAAAAAAAAAAGGAAAAAAAGAAAAAAGAAAAAAAAAAACGCCAACAACAATCCCTTGCCTTTGGATTTCTATCTCTTCTGAAATAAACTGCTTCCTACAGCGAATTGCAGCCGTAATTATTACCTCCCGCAGCCTGTTTGCTTTCTCAGCGGTTCCCTGGCCAAAACTAACAGGCGCTGCCTGCGGACACACATCTTTGGAGATGGGCTATGGCCTTCGGGGCCGTCTCCTCCTCGCCCTCCTTTCTCTCCTGCCTCTTGTCGGGGAGTGCACAAAGTCTCCCGACATCCAAGGCCTTGTGCGTCCAGGGAGGAGAGTGGGTGGGATGCAGGACGGGTCCGTGGGCCTCGGACGGATCCACTGCCTTTGGGCCTGCAAGCCGGCTGGCTTACCTGAGCATCCGTGAGGCCCAGCATTGCCGCCAGCTGCTTCCGGTCGGGCTTGGTCACGTACTTCTGAATCTCAAACCTCTTCTCCAGGCCTTTCCTCTGCAGGTTGGAGAAGACCGCCCGTGACCATGAGCGCTTCCGCTTGTAGGTCTGAGGCATCGTGTCCTTAGTGAGCACGGCATAGGGACCTGCAGGGTGGGGAGTGAGGGATGGGAGCAAGAGAGAGAGAGAGAGAGAGAGAGAGAGAGAGAGAGAGAGAGAGAGAGAGAGAGAGAGAGAGACAGGAGGACCGAATTAGTGCCCTGGGCCTAGGGCTCAAGGTACTGCTTAAAAATGCTTACCCCTGGGCCCTCCCCGCATTCACAATTCTGAGGAGGAATTGTGCAGCTTTTGAGAAAGCAATGGAAAGGCCAGTGTATTGTCTGAGTTGAGAAGCTCAGCATGTCATCCATTAATTTCAAAGGCAAAAGGGCAATGCTGATGCTTGGCTATCAGACACTGGGAGGACAGGCGAAAATGTTCCCCCCCCCCCCCGCCCCAGGCCTGAAGAAGCTAGAGATGTCAGCCTGGATATTCCCTCTCTGTCTCTCTCATCTCTCTGGTGTGTGTGTGTGTGTGTGTGTCCAGGGGCCCAGGCGAGGACCCTAGATGCAGATCCCCGGAGCAAAAGGGTTTGAAGTCATTTCACAATCTGTGTGCGTGATAATAAGCAAGGCCTCTTGCAGCTGAATTTTCGAAGCCCTCACCCCTGCCCCTCCCTACCCATCCCACCCACACCCCGCAAATATTTTCTGGGTTCCCCAGGCTCCCACCCCTTCCCTGTGGCAGCGGGCAGAGAGGGAGAGAGGGATCCAGCTCCTGGGGAGAAATCTTTCGGTTTCTCTCCCCTGACACGGTGACCCGTTCGTTCAGGGATGGCTATAGGACCAGCGCCACGGGAGGCATCGGTCCCGAGTTTTCTAAGGGGTGGACTTGCCCGGTCCGTACCTGGAAACGTGTCTTGAAACTGATGCTGGACTGAGTTCCTGGGGTTCGAGCTTAAGGGGCTGAGGATGGCGGACGCCTCGTTCATGGGGTCTAGCGACGCGAAGAGCTGACCGGCGGAGGGCTGTAGGCCTGGGAGATGCAGCCCCGCGGACCGGCCGGCGGTCAGCAGGGACGTGAGATCTGGGTCCGGGCGAGAGAAGAGCTGGTTACCCTTCAGGCAAACCCACACCCTTTAGCCTGAGGTGTTCCTCCCCTCTCCCCCGCGCCCTGGATTGATTTGGTTTCGCTGATGCAAAGCCCAGAGAGACCCCTCTCTCCGGATTGTGAACAAATGGGTGATGCAAGAAAGCACCCATCTGTCCGTGTCCACGCGGGTATAGCCCGGAAGGGCTTGGTTTTAAACACGAAATTCCTCTCAGGTGCCTTTGGAGGGTCCCAGACCTAAACCCGCCACCGGAAGAGCTGGCTCTGCCCTCTCCTCTGGGGAGCTGGGAGTCCATTTGTTTCGCCACATTCCTGGGGCGGAATTTCTCTCCAAATCAGACAAACAGACGGGAACGTGCTCCCCAAAAGGGCTTTTTAAAAACAAATCATAGAGTTTCCTCTCTAGAGATGTGATTCAACACAAGGGATGGTCCCTTTAGCAAACGTTTCCAACAACAATTCGTATGCACATGGACTCTGAAGAGCGGTGTTTTTGGTTGTTTTTTTAAGCATTCCTGGGGTCTTTTATTTTTATTTTTATTATTATTATTTATTATTTTTACATAGAGCAGGTGAGTTTTAAAACCTAGTGTTTCAGGGTCTTCCCACAATTGCTTTTCTTCTCCCTCCTTTTAACCAACGTGCCCTTCATTGTAAAAACTCCCAAAAGTGGCCCCAAATGGCCCAGGGACCCGGTCAGAGGCCTCAGGCCTCGGGCCCCAAGACCTACCTCTCAGCGTGTTGCCTTCTTTGACTTTCGGGTCAAACTCTGCCGACAAAATGCGGTCAATCCCAAATTTGAGGTCCTTGCTGGAGGGGGCCGGGGCCGAGCCGCTGCTGTGGTGGTGAGGGTTGGGGACCCCCCGCGCCCCGGAGGAGGAGGAGGAGGAGGAGGAGGCCTGGGGATGCAAGGCGCCCGCCCGGGGAGGAGGAGGTGGAGGCTGTTGCTGCAGCGGTTGTTGTTGTTGTTGCTGCTGCTGCGGGTGATGGTGGTGGTGGTGGTAGGCGGCCGAGAGCGGGGACAGTCGCTGCGGGAAGCCAGCGGGGACTTCGGAGGGCGCCACCACCGGGGTGGGGCGAAGCGGGGACCTGGCGGCGGCGGCGGCGGGGAAAGAGGCGTGCGGGTGGTGCGCCGAGCTCAAGTGCGCGGTGAGGGCAGCAGCCGAGGCTCCGGCCAGGCCCTCCGGGGCCGCCCCGGGCTCCCCGACGTGCAGAATGTCCGCGATGCAGAAGGAGGGCTTCTTGACCGCGGCGGCGGCGGCGGCGGCGGGGTCCAGAGGGAAGGCGCAGCCGCCGCCCGGGCCGGCCGAGGAACAGTACGCGGCCGACCAGAGGCTGAAGTTGGAGGCGTAGAAGGGAGCCAGCCCGGCGGCAAACATCCTGGCGGGGCGGCCGCCTCCGCCGCCGCGGCCTGGCTGGGCCGGAGGGTGGATGGATGGATAGGTGGGTGGCTGGGTGGCTGGGTGGCTGGGTGGGTGCCCGGGGAGGGGCGCGCCTCGTTCAGGAGGAGGAGGCAGCCGCCCGGCCGAGGAGGACGATTCGCTTTCGGTTCTCTGTGCGCTCCCAGGAGAAGCCAGGGAGCCCCGGCGCCACCGAGGGAGGGTGAGGGGGGAAGGCGAGGGTCAGATCCGTTAGATCCAGCAGGTCCCGGTCGGCCCTGACCCCACGGAAGGCGGCGGCGGGGGAACCCGCGCTCCCCGCGGGCTGGAGGCGGGCGAGGGGCGCTGGGGAAGAGACAGGGCCCCGGGCACCGAAAGAAAAACCCCAAGAGCTAAGCCCTACGAGCTAAATTTAAAACAACAACAATCATAATCCGTTCGCTTCAAAAAAAAAAAAAGAAGAAGAAGAAGAAGAAGAAAAAGAAAAAATAAGAGGGGGGCGGGAAAAAAAAAACTCCTCTCTAAAAACTCCCAAAGTTTTGGCAGAAGCTTTGGAGTCCGACTCAGGGTAGGGACCTCGATCTGCGCGCTCATTGGCCAGCCCGAGGGCCAATCAGAGCGCGGCGTGGAGGGAATGGGCAGAGAGGGGGCGTGGCCAGATCTAGTCCACGCCCCTTGCCACGCCTCCATGCCACGCCCAAGTGTTTGCCGCCGCCGAGGCCGTGGGCCGAACTGGGTTCTGAGCGTCCCTTTCCCCGGCTCCGGGGAAACTCGGACCCTCCCGGGCTTCCGGCGGCGCCGAACCGGCACCGAATCGGCACCGGGCGAGGAGAGTGGGTCTCAAAGACCCGGAGCCCTCGCCTGGGGAAACCGATCGTCTCGCACCATTGACCGCGCGGCGCCTAGGCTGCCTCCCGGTACGCGCTGGGAGCCCCACTACGTGTCCATCCCTTTTTAAAAATATATATTTTATTTATTTTTTTTACAGAGAGGAAGAGAGAGGGATAGAGAGTTAGAAACATCGATGAGAGAGAACCATGGATCAGCTGCCTCTTGCACACCCCCTACTGGGGATGTGCTGGCAACCAAGGTCCATGCCCTTGACTGGAATCGAACCCGGGATCTTTCAGTCCGCAGGCCGACAACGCTCTATCCACTGAGCCACACCGGTTCCGGCGTGTCCATCCCTTGACCATCCCTCGGCCCCCGTTTTCCTTCCAATCGGGCCTTTTTTATCCCGAACATTGGTGTCCTCGGAGAGGCTCCATCTTCCTGGGCTCCAGGGCAGGAATGCGGGGTGGGGGTGGGGAACCTTAGGGGCCCCACCGCCCCATGCAGCACCGCATCGGCCTACTCGCCGCCTCCGAAAATCCTCCAGGAGCCCTGGCCGGTTTGGCTCAGTGGATAGAGCATGAGCCTGAGGACTGAAGGGTCCAGGGTTTGATTCAGGCCATGGGCACATGCCTGTGTTTTGGGCTGAATCCCCGTTGGGGGTGGGGGGCGTGCAGGAGGCAGCTGATCCATGATTCTCTCTCATTATTGATGTTTCTTTTTATCTATGCCTCTTCGTTCCTCTCTGAAATCAATAAAGAAATATATATATATTTTAAAACATCCTCTGGGAGGAGAGGAGAAGCCCTCGTAAATGAGCTTTCTTCTGAGTTGTCACGCGGTGACACCTCGAACGAGTGACTTTTCAAACAAAATAAGATGGATGTCTGCCTTGGACGCAGCCAAAACTTTCCCCCACAAGCCTCAAAGACAACAGAAAAAGACCGAAATCTACCGAAATCCACCTTGTAGGAAGCGCCATCTCCCTGCTCCTCTGCCACCTCCCCAGTCCGTGGGCCGCGTTGTTTTGCAAGTGCCCACAGGAGCCGATTTCCTGGAGGGAAATGCTACTTTTTTTTTTCCTTTTTAAAAATATATTTTATTGTTTTTTACAGAGAGGAAGAAAGAGGGATAGAGAGTTAGAAATATCGATGAGAGAGAATCACTGATCAGCTGCCTCTTGCACATCCCCTACTGGGAATGTGCCCGCAACTAAGGTCCATGCCCTTGACTGGAATCAAACCCGGGACCTTTCAGTCCGCAGGCCGAGGCTCTATCCATTGAGCCAAACCGGTTTTGGCTAAAATGCTAACTTCTTCAATTCACCACCTGCCTAGCCCATGGAGCCCCTTTTGGGGCCTGGCTGGTCTCGGGAGAGGCTGCAGGGGGGCGGCCAGCGCGTTGGGGAAGGGGGAGGGGGATGGGGGGCAGGGAGGGAGGAAGAGGGTACCGGAGGGCGAGTTCTGCAACATCCACGTCTTTATTTTAAGAATTCGTTCTCTTTGTAAATCATAGTCAGGACGGATTTCCCCACCCCTCTCCGAAAACAAACCGCAGGCCATCCAGGCGAGCCCCATTGGCACATTTTAAGGAAGAAAATAAAATAATAACGATAATGAAACCACAACGTCTTTTGTTTTCGGTGCTACTGAGAAGCATCTCTTCACAGAGCAGCTGTGCTTCTGCGGCATTAAAACACACACACACACACACACACACACACACACACAACCTTTCAATATAGTTCTGAGGCATTTTAAATTTCACTTCAGCACTGAGGTTTCTTAGCAAACAAGCCCGGGAAGGTAACTGAACTTGCCCGTGTGTTTCGGGGATTTAGGATTGGGGGCTAATTATATTTATTTTCAGAGGTTCCTAGCTCCTTGTTGTAGAGGTGTTTTTATTTTTAAGCTTTGACTTTTCTCCTGGAATCATCACTGAGTATGCCCCAGCTCGCTCTTGCGCTCGCGCTCTCTCTCTCTCTCTCTTTCTCTCTCTCTCTCTCTCTGTCTCTCCCCCCTCTCTCCCTTCCTTTTGCACGAGTTTTCTTGCTCAGCTCCGTGCAGCCGGGGACAGAGGTGGTATTCCCAGCAGCTGCAAAGGCTGAGCATCTGAGGGGCGGCGGTCGGTCGATTGGCCAGGGCGCGGCCCTTGCAGCCTCACGGACCGGACCGCACTGGGGGAAGCCACCAGCTCCAGAGCGCGTCCCTTTTTCCAAGGTCACTTCCAACTTCGCTGCAATTCCGATTTGGCCACATTCCTAAGCCCAAACTCGGGGTCCCCAGGCATGCATTTAGGTCCCACCCCAGGCCGCCTACCCCCCAAAGAAGATGCGTCCCTTGGGGTGGGGGGGCCCCAGGTGCAGACTGGGCGGGATGCAGGCCCACTCCGTCCCTCCCCCCAGCCCCGGGTGCTTACGACCAGCATCCAAAGCACTTAGAAGAGGCCAGGGGTGCGGGGCAGGCGGGGCGAGGGCGGGACTGGGGAGTCGGGTTTCCCTCAATTCCTACCCCAGCGAGCCTCAGGCTCCAGTCTGATCCAGCAAGGTCAAGGTCGGGGCCGACTCTCCAATGCGCCCTGGCCGATCTGGAGCTCTCGGAGGGGAGGGTACCTCGAAAAGGGACGCCTTTGGCCGAAACCAGTTTGGCTCAGTGGATAGAGCATTGGCCTGTGGACTGAAAGGTCCCAGGTTCAATTCCGGTCAAGGGCATGGACCTTGGTTGCAGGCACATGGGGGGGGGGGGGAGCAAGAGGCAGCCAATCGATAAATCTCTCTCATCAATGTTTCTGGCTCTCTATCTATCCTCTCTCTTCCACTCTGTAAAAAAATCAATAAAATATAAAATATATATTAAAATATATATTAAAATATATATATTAATATATATATATTTTTTTAAAGAAAGAAAGAAAAGGGACATCTTTGGAAAGACCCCCTGCCTACCTCCCCCTACACACACTCATACCCTTCCTCAGGCCCAGGCCTCATTCCTGCCCACCCTCACCCCCCTCTGAGCCTGCAAACTCCCCTCCTCCTCCTCCTCCTCCTCCTCCTCCTCCTCCCTCCCCACCCTCCGCCAAGAAAGCGGCAGGAAACCCGGGCCCGCGGAGTTCAGGTCACCTCCTGTTTTCTCTGATGAGCTCCAACTGGGGACTAAATGAGCGGATGTGCCTGCGAGATCGGGCCCTCAAAATAGAAGCGGCCTCCGTATTTTTAGGATCCTGCCGAAATCCTTATTTCTTCCGGAGAAAAACTCTAGAATGACTGCAAGCACTTCCCCTCTGGATATTTGTGCCATTTTATCTCCCCGGGCAAGTTGCTCGGGTGACGCAAATCCGCCCCTGTTGTATTAGGGCCACCAAAATAAATGCGCGGAAATCGATCCCCTTCTAGCGAGGAAAACATAAATATGCAGCTGCGACTTTCCCCTGTAATCTTGGCGAACGAGCTGGTGGAAGAGCAATCGCTCGGGGCGGGCAGGCGAGGGCTCCCCGGCGGGCCTGGAGGCCGCAGACTCCAGCAGGAGTGAAGAGGACCTGGATGAACCCAGTGAACTTGAGCTTCGGCTGCGCTTGCCGAAACCGGTTTGGCTCAGTGGATAGCGGTTCTAGAGCGCCGGCCTGCGGACTGAATGGTCCCTGGTTCGATTCTGGTCATGTATCTTGGTTGCAGGCACATCCCCAGTGGGAGTGTGTGCAGGGGGAAGCTGATGGATGTTTTTAACTCTCTATCCCTCTCCCTTCCTCTCTGTAAAAAAAAATCAATTATATATATATTTAATGTGGCTGCGCTGTTCTTGGGGGAAGCTCATGTGTCAAGATGATTTCGCCCGAGACTGCATAGCTGCACCAGAAAATCACAATCCGCAATAAGAGCAATGGAGCCGAAACCGGTTTGGCTCAGTGGAGAGAGCATCGCGTCGCGGACTGAAAGGTCCCGGGTTCTATTCCGGTCAAGGGCATGTACCTTGGTTGCGTTCATATCCCCATTATGAGGTGTGCAAGAGGCAGCTGATCAATGTTTCTCTCTCATCAATGTTTCTTACTCTATATCCTTCTCTCTTCCTCTCTGTGAAAAATCAATAAAATATATATATATATATATATATATATATATATATATATATATATATATTGAAAAGAGCAATGGCAGAGCGTTCTTTTTGCTG